ATTGTAACTGATGTTGTAAATATTTAACAATGTTTAATTGAGCAGTAATATTGAGTAATCGTAATGGAAATAATAATATTTGTTTTGTCATATCCTATATAGTGGGGTTGACAAGTTCAAGAGCATTATCTAAAGCCATGACAAATTGAACTGAAGTTCAACCTGTTAATTAGGTCAAAGAATAAATGTAGAAACCATCTCTTTTTCCCATAATGATTTGTAGTAGTTCCTTGTGGATTTATTGAATTGAGTTGAAATCCTAATTAATTATTAACCAGTAGAATGGGCAAGCAAACACCCAACTTTCTCCTCAAGTTGGAGCAAAACTATAATTCATGTCCAGCTTTCCAACTATTGCATCAGAACGGACTGCGGAAATTCCTTATGTGAATATGTATGCTGACTGTTTTTTTGTTGTCAATAAAAGTGTATTGATCAGCCCATTATCCGTTTTTCCTTGATGAAGTGTCTGTCAACTTCAGAATGTTTTTGTGGATCACGTTGAACTGAATTATGGCAATACTAGTAGCCATCTTGTTGTCACAATGGATCCTCATAGATTCTTTAGGTTTCATTTCAAGTTCTTTAAGAATAATTTTGATCGAAAGCATTTCATAGATTCCTAGAGCCGTAGCTTTGAGTTCGGTCTAGCACTTGACCTAGCAATGACACATTACTTTTTCCTTCTTTGTTATTAGGTTTCCTCCAATGAATGGAGTAGCTAGTGGTTGATTTTCTGATCGAGCCAGACCAATGTGCATCAATATATGCTTCAACCTGTTGATGCCCATCTTTTGAGAAACACAATCCTTTTCCCATGGTTGCTTTCTTAAAATTCTTTGAACAACTTCCATATGGTAGTCTAACACAGCATGCATGAATTTACTTACCCTGCTTACTATATATATTTTATCAGGTCAAGCATGAAACGAGAGAATAAGCTTATTAACAAGTTCTTGTTATCCCTCCCTTTCAATAGGCTCCCTATCAGTAATGGACCTGAATAAACAATTTGGATCAATTAGGGTTTCAACTCGTTTGCATGCCAATTTCATGCTGTAAATCCCACATATATTTCCTTTCGGACGAAAATTAATTTTTTGACTGAGCTCAGAGCCACTTATTCCCATGAAATACCTCAAGCCACCCAAGACTTTTGTTTTAATTCGTTCAACTGTATGAAAGCTTTTGGCCACCACTTCATCATCACTGATAACAATTCTATCATCTATATAGATAACTAGTAATATTATTTTCTTGGAAATTGAGTGTTCACAATTTTATCCTTGACTCTGTTAGTACCCATAGAATCATAGGCATCTTTCTAATCAAGCTCTTTAATATTGCTTTAGCCAATACAAAGATTTTTTAAGTTTACATACATTGTTATCTCCAAACACGCCTTTAATTTCCAGAGGAGTATCCATGTAAACTTCTTCCTCCGATTTCCTGTGGTTTTACGCCAAATTGGGGAAAGGGCCAACAGAGAGTTCTAGCTATCTAAAGAAGAATCCGAATTGAGTCCATTTTGGTGACAGGAGCAAACGTTTCTTGATTGTCAATTCTGAGTTGTTGTGTATTTTTTAGTAACCAACCTAGCCTTATGCCTTATAACTGACTCGTGTGCTTTACACTTAAACCTTAAAAATCTACTTGCATCCTATTGTCTCTGCCCTCTAGGTAACTCAACTACCTACTATGTCTCATTTTTGTGAAAAGCTCTCGATTTCCACTTAGAATCTTATAGTGCCTCGTGCACATTGTTTGCACATACTTGGATGACAGATTATAAAATTGGAAGTGAAGGCCTTAAACAGAAGATTGAGACAATTGTAATCAGCACCATTATAATGGGATGTTTGGCCACCTTTTCAAAGAGCAATAGAATATCAAGTTCAGTATTGCCTAAAGGTTTAATAGATGACAAATATCTAACAACCTATGAACAATGAACCAATATATAGGGAAGCAAACTGTTGGTTTGGGTACAGAAGTTCTCTCTGGTGTTTGTTGCGATCAAGTGTCATCGTACGTCAAGGAATTTTTTTTTTCTTTACGTGAGTGTTAGAAAATACATCAGTGAGTCCCTGGTTGACTAGAAAATGTATAGGGACGCAAATTTCCGACATAAATCAAATGATTGCATCAGCAACATCGTCTCCACGGAAAATTAAAGATGGGAGTACTTTTTTGGGGTTCGTGGGGGAGAACTATAAAATTTTAATTGAAGTCTGTTAGATTACATGGTGACCTCTATCTCTGTAAGAAGTGTTTATAATTTTTGTATATTTTACGTTACCGTTGGGGTTTGGTTCCGTCTATCAACTGTTTGTTTGGGTACATAAGTTATCTCTGGTGTTTGTTGGGATTCAAGTGTTATCTGGACTTACGAGTGCTAGAAAATACATCAATGAGTGACGAGTCCCTGGTTGACTTGGAAATATATAGGGAGGCAAACTTTTGACATAAATCAAACTAGTGTTTTATTGTTAGTTCCATTGTCTCCACAGAAAAATAAAGGAGGGAGGAGTTTTTTTTTTGGGGGGTTCCATGGAAGAACTATTAAATTTTATTAAATTTTATTTGAAGTCAGATTACATGATGACCTCTATGTGTGTGTAAAAACTCTATAATTTTTATATATTATCCAGTACCATTGGTGTTTGGTTCCTTCTATCAACTGTTTGGGACGTAAGTTATCTATGATGTTTGTTGGGATTCAAGTGTTATCAGGATTACATCAGTAAGTCAAGGAAATATATTTTCCTTACATTGGCACAATCTTTTCTATTTGCGATCATATGGAGTGTTGGTCACTACTATTTAAATGTGTTTGTGTCTTCTATTTGTGTTACACACACTCTTGTGGTGAATATGATTTCTCAGGTGCAATAATCCATGCTGTTTTATTGCTTCTCTTGGTTTTTGTAGACTTCACATTGTCGTCTGTACTATAAACACCATGTATATTAAGAATACTATTAACATCATCTCCAACAATAAAAAACATGCAAAAATTTTCATTTTAGACTTTGGTGATCATGTTCAATGAATTTCATCATGTCTAGGTACTCAGGAATATTTTGTTATGATTAATTATCCCTACCAAAACTTGAACCACTTCTTCCCTTCACTTTGTAAGTTTTAACGTGTTGTGCATTAGTGCATAGGATTATGAATTGCCATTGTGAATCATGCAGGGATCATGGATTGTTCGTCAGAGTGTTGGAAGTACCCCATGTTTACTGGGAAAAGCTGTTGATTGCAACTATATCCGTGGTCCCAAGTATTTGGAAGTAAGCTTCTTTTCATGTTTCTCTATTATCCACATGTAAATATCCAAAATTGCATGTGTGCCAATGCTAGCACCTGAATGCTTTTGACTGATGGTGCCTGATTTTCTTTTGGTGTCTCTTGTTTATCTCTAGATTGATGTTGACATTGGTTCTTCCACCGTGGCAAATGGTGTCCTGGGGCTTGTAATTGGCGTGATTACAACTCTTGTTGTTGACATGGCTTTCCTCGTCCAGGTACTTGAGTGTAAACTGATTATGTCATATTTAGTAGGATTTATTTCTACATGTAAGACTTATTTGCCTCGTCTTTCTCATTTATTATATTATGGAGGAAAAGTATCTACGGAGTTGAAATGAAAATTCTGGTGACCTATGTTGTACTGAATGTGGGAAAAGAACACTTCTATATATGGTCTAATCAAAGATAAAAGCTCTAGACGAAAAATAGATGTCATCAAAATCTGAATAATGAACGTACAAGTAGCAACAGTAAAAGGTTTGTATACTTTGATAAAGAAGAGGATCTTGGAAAATCTCAAGTTTGTATAAAGTGTATCGACAGAGGGGCACCCAAAAAGTTAGAAAACAAAAGATTCAAGTTTTCCCCTTATTTTCTCTTCAGAAATCTGGTTTATATTATTGAAAGAGACCATTGCCGACAAAAAATTAAATTCAAAAAACACCAGAAAATAAAGTGGAGCATTTGCTTGAATAGACGTTGTTTTTGTTTGAGCTTCATTTTTTCCCGAACTTATTTTTAACCACACGATTGCCTACTGAAATAATTTTACACAAAAACCTAAAATTTTCTCTATTTTTTATCACTATTAGAAAATCTATTTTAACAAAAAATGGGGCTCAAACGTAGTCTAGTGTACGTGGGTGAGTGAAGAATGGAGACAGCTAAAACAATTTTTATGTATTCTCACTTTATGCTTTTTTGGGAGAACTTTTGTTTTATGTTTTAATAATTTTACAAATTCTACGAATATATGCACATTTCAGGCCAACACAACAGATGAGTTACCCGAGCGACTTATTGGTGCTGTACGAGTTTCACATATAGAACTGTCGTCAGCTGTTGTCCCTGTGCTCGATTCGGACACAACATAGTTGTTCATATCGTCATTTGTCAAACACATATACTTACAGGTGTAATTGTTGAAATATACTCCTTTTGTACCCTCCAAATGAAAAATACAACTTTTTAGTATGTGAAATTACATTAGTGAAATAACATACATACAGCTTTGGGGTACGTGTAATTTCAGTTACTTGATATGTACAAATAAAATTAATGTTCTGTTCATCGCTCCTATTACTGTATACTCTTTGCCGTCTAGTTTTTTCTAATATTGTGTATCAAATGTTAATAATTCCCGCTCTTATAGTTTGCTGGTAAAATCGGAAGAAAGGGGGTCAGCCTTGTGATCTTTTGTGATGGAATCTATCTCGTTAGTTCATGGCTAAAGAATGATCCTGCTCCAAATAATGTTTTGCCCATTTAGAAGTTTTCGCGACTCAATAACAAAAGATTATATTAGCAATGTCGAGCAAAAAAATCAATGGGAACATCCAAAAATCTAAATAAAATAAAGTTAAAAACTCATTCGATAGCATTTAAAAACATCACAAATAGCTTCCAAGAGTATACAAACTCAATTGAAAATCGAAAATTAAAATTTTACACATAATGTAGTGGGACTACTGAGATATAAGATCAAGAAATGCTTTCAAAGAAGCCATTGATGTCGATGGATAACCATTTCCAAATATGTGCCTAAACCCCATTGCTCTATTGTGAACCTCTTCATCACCCATCAATTTCTCAATTTGTCGCATTATGTCATCCCTTTTGACCATCTCTGAAAAATCACCCCCTGCTGAAACCATATGGCCCACTTTCAAATGACTCATCACCAATTTTGCATCATTAAATTGGTCACCCCTAATTGGCCATGCCAAAATTGGGACTCCAAGCCCAATTGCTTCCACAGTAGAATTCCATCCACAATGTGATAAAAAACCTCCAGTTGATGGGTGGCTCAAAATCAATAATTGTGGGGCCCATCCTTTTATAATAAGTCCTCTATCCCCAACTTTTTCTTTCAACCAATGTGGGTAGTACCCTTCATCTTTATCTGAACCGGGTTTCACACCAAAAAGCCCGGGTGGTGGACCTTGGCTTCCTGAACCGGGTTGAATTACCCATATGAATGGCCTATTCAACTCTCCTACTGCTTCCGCTAATTCAGCGTATTCTTCTAGAGTAGGACCAACTTCACTACCAAATGACACATAAATGACAGACTGACTTGGCTTTGAATCCAACCACTGAACTACATCATCTTCCGTGTAATTCGATTTTCGATCTGATCTACCATCTTGAAGAACTGAATTAGACTCAACTGATTTCCAATACTTGTCGGGCAACAACGGACCCACACCCAAAACTGTTTTTCCAATTCGACTAGATATATATTCAAGAAACGGCTGCTCCAAATCATCACACGTGTTGATTAACAAGGCGGTCGAACCGTCCACGTCTTCTAGCCACCTCGGTGGTTGTTCAGGTCCAGGAGGGCCAAAGTTCATTCGACTTGGCGGTCCAACCGGACCATTTTTTGGGAACCGCGAAGGTGGTGGAGCCTTTCTTTTAAGATCCGAATAACTCAAGGCCATGCTTTCAGGTAACCCGGGCAACACCCGGGTCTCACCCGGTTTGACATCATCAACATGGGCTTTCCATGCAGCCCACTCCATAGCAGGAGAACATGCACCAGACGTGAAAAATGACACTGTAGGTATCTCCATTTTTTTGAATAATTCCTTGCTCCAGCTCATCATCACGTCAATTACTACACATAAGGGTCGGGTCTGACCAGTATTCTTGTACCTGTCATTGATAAAGGACTCAATTCCTTCGCCCAATTCTTGATGATGATTGTTAGTTGGCCTAGATCCATGTCCATTTCTGGGTCCCGGTGCAGACCCTTCTAGTTCAGAAACATTTGGTGGTGGATGTGGTGGTGCTAATCTCAACCCCGGCGGAGGCGGTAAAGGCGAATATGAAGCTGGGATTTCGAGCACTTCAACTAAAGAGTGGTTCTGGTTTAGAGAGGAAGGTACGGAGGAGGAGAGATGAGAAGGGATAATGAGAATAAGTTTGTAATTGTAAGAAGAAAGACGTTTGCATAGCTCTATGCATGGAAAAAGATGACCCTGACCAAAAAATGGAAGAACCAAAATATCACCATGAACAGTTCCCATCTTGATTTTCACTCTTCTGCAATACTTGGGATTCGTATGTTAACATGTATATATATATATACGCGCAGTGACAGAGATATGAAATGATAATAGAGGATAAGAGGAGGCAAAGGAGAAACGTAGTAGATAAGCAAAGTGCTTGTTAAAGAATTACGAGGTTTGACTGTTTGGTTAAAGCGTAGATATTATAGAGTACAATCCAAGAAAGTAATTCTCTTGCTCCTTAAGCTACGCCATGCATTAATGCGTTCAAATGAGTGGTTCTGCTTCACGTACAGAAGCTTAAATGGCCAGAAAATGGCCAGAACACTGGGGGTGGTTTATTTTTTTCAATATTTTACTGACATGGGGTGGGCCCATGTGAGTGTTCTGGCCAATTTCTGTGGATGAGTTGTGTCGACTGTCTTGTTGGCAAAGGCGTTCTTAGCCCATGTTTTTCTTTCAAAATCATATTTTATATATACTCATTTTCAGTCACACATTCATATAATAAATATTTTATACGAAAATTTAAAATTTTGAATGATGCTATTTAGCATCAATTTATGTGTAAGTATATGATAGATCATAAATAAGTTATAAAATCTAGTATTTAATTGAATCTATAATTTAATGACACAAATGATGCCACCTAGATCAATGTTAAACACCAGTTGTGCTAAATAATATTACTCCAAGAAATTTCTCTATTTTTTAACCACTAATTCTCCCAATAATGTATTTTAAATAGCGATCTGATGGAAAATATGTGGTTAAAAAATAAAGAAAATTATTGAATTTACGTGTAATATTATTTTATTGAAAAATTAGTAGTGAAAATAAGAGATATATATTTTTAGAAGAATTGGTATCAAACATGGTGTTAATTTTGATATGTAAAAATTATGGTGGTCTATTAATTTTGTATAAATCTATATGTACATAATTATTGTACATAATGGATTATATAGGCCCATGTGGAAGAAATTCGGTCGTGGATGTGAAGTGTGGAAAAGTCAAAAAATTGTAGACTATCGATGGATGCGCGCCACATGTCAATTATATAATATATTATGTAAATGATTATATACTTGTAGCATGATCCATTAATTTTACTGAGAGACATCTAAAGCAGGACAACATATTTGAAACTCATTTTTACTTACTTGAGGCAGGGTGGGCCACCGGGGTTTAAGATTTGGTTCCGAATTTCAAAGGTGGGGTCATTTTCTTTTCAATTGTGTGGGCCACATAAGTATGGGATCTGTCTAACTGCACCGCCCAACATTTCTTTGTCGACATTGACTAGGTTAAAAGTTAGACTCGAGAACAATAAACAATAACAAAACAAAGTGACAAACTAATAACAACCATGTTTCATGTACAGGTGGGGTTGAACCCCCACCCATAACACTGGGTGGGTAATTTTTTTTTAAAATTAGTCTACTTGTACATCAAGACATGTACATAAGGGATTACACCCCTCTCATATGGAGGATAAACCCACTCGAATAATAAATATTCTTCCAGTGGGTCCCACCCCCATATGAGAGGGTGTAACCCCCTAGTACATCTCGATGTACAATAGCACATCGTTTTTTTTATTGAGGTGAGTCCAGTTGGTTCGTCTATTTAGATATTTTTCTATTTAGATATTTTGACGTGCAGTCATTTAACTGGCATTGGAAAAATAAAGTCGAGGATTAAAATTGAATTTTTATTATATTTAATAAGATATATAATAGAAAAGTTGTGATTTCCCTAACATATATAATTAAAATTAATTATTAACTTTAACTTCAATTAAAATCTGAACTTTAACCCATATCAGAGACTAATTATCATAATGTAAGAGGTCAAGCATTATTATCTATTTAATTCATGTGTAAACAAGTGGAAAAGTCCTTTATATTTTTCACACTTGTGAAATGAAATTGTTGCCAATATTAAATTTTAGTTGAAAATATTGTAACAAATTGAAGTTGAGTGATTACAATAAATGTCTGGCCTCAAAATTGGGTGACAAATAGTGTCTTTTTACCCTATCTTGAACATAAACTTGCACACAAAAATATAGTCAATGGAAATTAATCAAAAGTATTTTTTTTCTTAAAAAGATATATGAACTAATGTAATAGGAGGTACCTTTCTTTGTAAGGATTAGCAGAATAATATGCACCATCCATGTATAAATTTAATTAGAGGCACAAGTAAAAGAACAAACCATGAAAATGCAGCAGTGACCTAGAAACCCAACAATGTACTTAGACATCTCTCATATTATACTCTAAAAAGAGAGAAGACTATATGAACTTTACAACAATAGGCAAAAAAAGATGTTGATGTTAATCTTAGTTTTTCACTTTTGAGACACTTCAAAATCACCTAGAATGGGTTTCAGATGGCTGACTATTCAATGCAGAACTCGAAGCAATTGAAGGCAAAGCCGCGTTGTCTTGAGAGGTCGATCCACCCCATTTCGTCTCTGCATCTGTTGGCTCCATCACATGAACTGCACCATCACTCATGCCAAGGGCAAATTGATTGGGATCTGATGGATGTGCAGCAATCACCACAGGGAAGGCATTGCCGTTGCTACTGCACAATTAAACAAGTCAACATATTCCGAAAGCATGTTTGGCTAAGCTTAAGAAAGAAATAAAAACTTATTTTTTATCAACTTCTTCATAAAAAAATCTACTGCCAAAAAATTAACGTGGATATTTATAATTCAGCGGAACTTTATCAGAAGGAAAAAAATTTAGGTGACAACACTAATGACACGTTTGGTAGGAATGATTGAATAGAACTGAACAGAATCAAAGAAAAAGAAGCTTATATCTTATTTAGAGCCTGTTTGCTACACATTAAAATCAGAGAATGCATTTTTTTGAAGTGATGTGATGGGGAATATGTGGTTAAAAATGAACGAAAAGTTATTGATGTGATGGAAAATATTATTTTATTGAAGAATGTGTGGTTAAAAATGAGTAGAATAATGAGAATGAAAAAAATAATGTGAGTCAAACAGGGGCTTATAATACTGTCCAGCATAGCATGCCAAACATATTGCAGCCTACAAGTAGTACCTTACCGGATAACACAATAACACATCTACTATGCAAGGCAGGAAAAATGCATAAATATATGTTAGAACTATCCTTGAGAACCCAAGTGTAAATTCAATACCTCCAATTTGCATACCTGGAAATTGGTGGAGATATGTAAGCAGATGGAGCTATTCGACATCGAAGGCTTAAATTGTCAGCATTAAAGATCCCAACAGCACCATCACAAAATCCAGTGAAGATGAACAAACCATCACACGAGTATATTGCACTAGAAATAGCAGCAGAAAGCGAGTCCCTTGGATGCCACTGCAATTGAATTATTCACTAAATAAAATAATTTCACGGGTAAAGGTGAAAAAATGAAGATATGCATTGTTAAGCTTAATGATGAATATGACAGATCATTGTCTTCCCAATTAGATATCTCTCAATGATCCTACCAATTGGGGACGAAACAAAAAAAAAAAAACTATTTTCCAGTAGTGTTGCTGTAAGCTACATTGTCCAATCATGTATAAGGAGTAAAAAGCCGCAGCAAGAGAACACTAGAGAGATTGATGCTGTACTGGTTTTGATAATAAGCCGGGGTATTTTTGTCATTTGACATTAGCTTCATCTCATCCCACAAAGGGATGGTGGTACGATTTAGATGCTCAATTTTATGTAATAATGAAAGCTAACAACGTTTAACAGACTCTACCAATTTAACAAGCAAAACAAACACACTCCATGTATGCTTCAGTTGTTTTAATGTTTTCTTATGCCCACACCTCTTTTTGGTTGACATTCCAACAATTCATAACGAAAAACAATTAGTCATGAAAACACGTTTAAACTCCTAAGCTCAGAACAGTGTACAAACCATCTCGTATCAATGCAATGACTCACACAAGCTATCTCAATCATCATAGAGTATATGGTCATCATGTTGCATATGCAAGAACCCAGGCCCTCCACTACCATTCTTGTAATCACAGAACAATTCCTTTAACTATCAATAATATCCACATTATTAGACTTGTAAAAAGAATTTCAAAAACAAATCTAAAATATTTTATGAAAGAATATTCAGTTAAGCCCAGAGAGTAGTACCAAGGAAAAATGTGGAATTTAATTGTCATCGGGGTATCAGCAGTGGACTAGTTTAAGGCATCAAACGTTTTCTACATGAGATTAGGTGTGGTTTATAAGTGATTGTTCTAGTGATAGCATTGGGTATTGAAGAAGTTTATACAAAATAAGTAGGTAACATCACATAATTTGGTATGCCTTTGTAGCAAGCTACAGAAGGAAGTCATTATGGAATGTTTTGGACATACTTGGGAATGTGGATAAGCAATTACTTGGAAAGGAAATCAAGTGGTAAGGCAGGGGACAGCAAAAATAAAATTGAAAAGCAGTGCATACATGACCCCTTTGAATAACTGTCAAATCTTATAGATTGATAAGAACATTGCCGCGATATGGTACATTTCTTGTACCTGAACACAGTTGACTAACAGCCTTCAGCATTCTTTCCACAGCTCTTTTATAAATTTTCTACACGCGTGTTCAACGCACTGACAAAGAACCTCCATGAAGATCAACAACTATACATTGAATTCTATGTTCAAGACCCAAGTCTGCTTGTGGCAATTTTGAATCCAAAAACGCAAATATCCATATTTGATTTGTTAACATCACATGATGTGGGAATGGAGAATAAGATCCAGTTCCTGGGAAGACTTTTAGAACGGCAATGCTTCCTATTTGTCAACAATATCCAGATTATACCCCTATTTGATTCCCATTCTTTTCAAACTCTTTTTTCTACGGGATCATTTTAAACCACACATTCACACAATAAAATATTATGCACGTAAACACAAATTTTTTTCAACTTTTTAACCACATTCTCCTAAAACACTATTCAAAACTCCCTTTTTTTATTGGTCGGAAGATCAAACCTGT